AGCCACTACTCCTTAAATCTGGCACTTAAAGACTTGAATCTACAAGATAGTATATTGGTCACACCTTTCCCCACAGGTAATCTATGTTCTAGAAGCCCAGAAGTTTCTTTGTTTAATGTGTTTTGTGTCTCTTCCCTGTCTCTGCCTTCCTCACACCGAATCCTTTTTCTGAATCTACCTGTTGAAAACTCTTTCTTCATTTATTCACTGTTTAATTGAATTATTCAATAACATTAATTTATTTAGAAATATTTACTGAGTACCAGTTGTGTGCCAGACATTGTTCAAGGGCCAGCTCAAATGCCACTTCCTAACCTTTCCTGATGAAGCCTTTCCTAACCACCTCAGCTATATGCAGTATTTCTCTCTTCAGAACTTCCATTGGTCTTTTTTATGCTTCTCTTTTGTCACAAATCTATACCTCATTGCTGTGGATATAGTAGGCAGTCAAAAATACTTTTTGAGTTAAAGAAAAAATGAATGAATGAATGAATAGGTGAGTGGACTAATGAATAAAAGAAAAGTTTTGCCTTCTCTACCGGGAGAAGCTAATGACTAAAATAAGCTGGTTAAACTGGAATAGAAATTTAATATTGTTATGGATTTGGAGTCTGTGAAACACCCTTAGTATAATTATATATTGCATCATCCAAACAGAGAAGGGAATGTATGACATCCCTGTCTTCTGATTTCCAGATCAATGCTTTTTTCCCAGCATGCTATCACATTCTACACTATCTAGATATTGAACTCAAAGGCAGTATTACACTTTGTCATTGCTTTTAAATATGAGATATAGTGTTTTAAGGACATCATTAAATAGGAAAATTCTACTTTCAGAGTGCCAGTAACCTATTTTAGCATTCAAGAAGACAAATAAAGTAAGCTGAATGGCAAGAAAAACATTGCTGATTAAGTAATTTTGAAAAACCATTTATTTTGAAAAATAACTAAGAGCTAGGGACCTTGATTAGTTCCCAATAGAAGTGAGTTATTAAAACAATAATCATAACCATAAGCTTGTATTTATACATGTCAAGGATTTTATTGTCCAATTTCTTGTTTAATCCCCCAAACAACTCTCTGAATCAGGGACTTTTATTTTCCTCATTTTACAGATGGGGAACCAAAATTTTGAAGAGATTAGTCAACTTATCCATGCCCACTGGACTAGTAAATGTAGGAGTGGGCAAATTAAACCTTAGTCATTCAGTCTCTGAAGCCCATGAGTTCAACCTCTGTGCTCTTCATCTGCTCATGAGGTTAGAAAATATGTGGGCTTTGATAGTGACACCGCACATTGCAGAGCCACTCTGTTACCTCAAATGATTTTTATTTATATAGTTGTTTCTGTATTAGCTCTATGAAAGATGAATAAGACTCTAGGGTTGATTTTTTTTTTGCAGGAAATTATTGAAATCACAGAAAGGGAGAATCTCACAAAAATGTGCTGTTTCGAGTGGTTAAACGTTTCCTTTTAATCTGCACACCATTCTGAAGTGGGGTAGATGTGACTCTCCTGAAGATAATCATTCTTTCAAAATCTGGAGTTACTTTGAATTCTATTTTCTTACATTTAGGGCAGAGAAGTGAAAAAAATTGTAGGAAGCCTCTAATTAAGGAATCAGGGCTTGAGAAAGGTGTTTTTGTCTGCCTAGGATTCCTTTCTTTGACAATGGCCCCTCTCCCATCCTTTGTGCTTCTGGTGGACTGCCAGCTCCCACTACTAAGAATTGGAATCTTAAGCAGAGAGGAACAGGGACAGAGGTTGGGGCTGAGTCATCTACGATGATGCACTGTCCAGTTCAGGATCTCTGAGCCTCAGGTTTCCCTTCTCAAAACGGTGTTCATATGCCGTACTAAGTTGCTTGAGGATTCAGTGAGATATTGTCCATAAAAGCTTTGGCACAGAGTTGCTATTCAATGAATGGTAGTTGCCACTCTTCAAGATTAGTAGTCTTGGGGGCAATTCTTTTTTTTCCCTACAGAAGGAAAGGTAAAAGTAGGCTCTTTCTGCTGAGGAGGCAGTGGGTGTAGAATCATTGATGGTACTTGAGAAGAACATCCTACTATTCAGATGATGAACTAGCAAAAGATAGGTGAACTGTAAATTGTGGGATGATGCAGTGCTGCTTTGTTATGATACTGCTATTAAGCCTCACAATACTGGGGCCGGCGCGGTGACGCAGCGGTTAAGTGCGCACATTCCACTTCGACGGCCCAGGCTTCGCCAGTTCGGATCCCGGGTGCAAACATAGCATCGCTTGGCACGCCGTGCTGTAGTAGGCGTCCCACATATAAAGTAGAGGAAGATGGGCACAGATGTTAGCGCAGGGCCAATCTTTCTCAGCAAAAAGAGAAGGATTGGCAGCAGATATTAACTCAGGGATAATCTTCCTCGAAAGAAAAAACAAACAAAAAAAACCCCTCACACTACTTCATTCTTTAAAAAAATCAATGGTCTGAAAGAAACTCAGGCCCCTTGGAGGGAAATATGGAGGGAGTAAGAAGGAATGTAGTCTTAGAGGAGTAGCCATTTATCCATCCAGCGGCCAAGTCCCTCTTTTAATGAATAGAGTTATGGTGAGGCTCCAGCATATTAATAAATGTTCTACTGTGGGTGGTGAGAACTTCAAAAGTGACACAGTGCATAGTGGATTTGATAATAAGAATAGAGAGAATTATAAATGAGATGTCCAGGAGGCATCTGTGTTAAGGAAACCTAGGATCAAGACTTTGTATATTCTAGCTGATGAAAGGTTGTGGGCAAAAAAGGGTGTGTGGTGGAAAAAGAAAGGATCCTGCTGGCTGGTGGGACACTGATGTGAAGTGATGGGGAGTTTTGATCAAGCATGTATCTTTGATCTTTAATATAGTGGCCTGGAGAGGGTATTAGAAACCATAGGTATAGTCACATACCTACTTAAAATGTGACTTTTTGTTATATTATTTCAAGTTTGAACAATCTCCAATTTACTAGCAGTTGTGCAAAAAGTAGGTCGTTTGGAATTTGGAATGCGTTTCCACATAGACATGAGGCTGAAAATGACTGTTTGACTCATCTTTTAGCATTAGGTGTACCAGAACAATGTATGAGGGGAAGAACAAGGTATGAAGGTATAAGTCGGTATGAGGGGGACAGGATGATGGAGGAAGACACTTTCCTCTATCTTCTAGGGACTTGGGCCCAACTCTTGGCAAAACAAAAAAAGGATGATGTTGTCTTTGATAGCCCCTCTTTTTTGTCCTCTTCCAGTTCCTGGTACCTTTTCTCCCCAGTAGAATCCTCTTGTTGCAAAACAACTGGATGAGATAGGTATTATTTCAATGATGTAATTGAGAAAAGGAGGCTCAGAGAGGTTTGTCTAACTTGCTCATGTCTGTATAATAAGTAAACGGGGAAAGTCAGTTTCATAATCAAGTATGTCTGGCTCAAAAACTCATGAACTCCAACATTTTGGGCTTGGAATGTCTGAGTTAATAGAGCCACCTTGAAGAAATAAAAGTATACAGAGGAATATGGGTTGGAGTGGGATGTGGGCAAAGGAAAAGAGAGCTTGGTTTTTAGATATATTGATTTTGAGCTGCCTTGGGATAGCCATGTCCTGCTGTCTGGTCACAAGAGAAGGCTTACTTTGTTGCCCAGTGGTGGAGATGGGTGAATGTGGAGTGTTTCATTTGCTGCAGAAGAGCAGAAGATAGATAGGTGGATGCATAGACAGACAGAGATAACTGCTAGCTAGCTAGATGTTTGTTGGTGAGTTGAATGTTTGGAAGTTGGGAAATGTCTTCGGTAACTAGTCAGTATTCTTATTGCTTAGCAACTTTATTTCCTCATGTAACTATGACAAATAGAACTTTCGTATTTATTTTTTTGTGCCTAAGGGCTGATAGTGCTGTTTATGAATGATGCATAAGTGACAATTTTACATTATGATCATCACTCTGATTCTTGGAATCATAGAATCTCAAGGTTGGAAGGGAACTAAATATTCTCTCTTGGATTTGCTCTATATTCAGACCTTGTTTTACACCTGCATGAGGTTCTTACTGACACATGCTTGTCCTTTAGATAGCTCTCCCTATATGAAAGATTTCACTTTCGAGGTAAAATCTTCCTACCGGTAAGCAGATATTCACCAGTTGTTCCTATCTCTACCCATAGAAGACAAATATCAATATCTCCTCCACATGAGAGCTTGTCACACATTTGGAAAAAGTGTCCATATCTCTCCTGATTTTCCCTTTACCAAGCTGAATTTTCCTCCATCTCTTCAGTGGTTCCTCGGGGACATCTTCCTTCAGGGAAGGACTTGTTGGCCCAGGTTCTGAGAATGCACTCAGCAGATGGCCTCCAGTGTCATCTCCTTCAGGGATTGTTTCACTGGCAGAAAGCCACTCATCCACGGTCACACCCTGTCTTGGTGTGGTCCACGTCCAATGACTGATTCACATAGGGGTATAAAAGCCCAGTTATTTCAGACCAGTATGTAACAACTCTGAATAGCCATTTTAGTTCCAGAGCTGCCAGTGAGGTCAGCTGAGGCCATCATTGGGCTGCATTACAACTTGATTTCTCCTTCTGTTCCTTCTTGCATCCTTTCCTCCCTTTCTCAGGTGTTCATCCCAAAGGCATAAACATTCTTCCTGCCCAACTCTGGTGTGGTCTGCTGCCCAGGGAACCCAGTCTGTAATGCATGGCTTCAAGTCTTCTCGTGAAACTTTCCAATTTGTTTATGGACTTAGACACTTTGGTAGGGCTTCTGGAGTACATGGATACCTAGGAGTAATCTCCTATATGATCATAATACATTTGGCTTTGAAGAATATTTTAAATTAAGTTTCTTTGCTCTGCATCCAGTGTGTAAAGCTGATAGGAAGATAGAGAGAGAACATTTTCAGTGGAGCTGTTTTAGCTTGGGTGTCCCCCTCAAAAACAGAGCCTGAGATGTGGATTACATGTGAGTAGTTTATTTTGAAAAATTATCCCAAGGAACAGAAATGGAAGACTGGAAACAGCTAAGGAGGGAAAGCAAATCCAAGGGTTCATTGTTGAGCTACTCACCACTATGGGCAACTGGAGTATGCTCCCACTGCAACCCTCTGAGAAGCCAGGTTGAATTGTCTGCCAGAAGATGAAAGAGGAGAATATTTATCCACCAGCACCTGATCCCCGTTGCTCATACTTTGCCCATGAGGTGTTAACTCTCTTGCACTTCCAGTCTGTGCATGCCTCAGAATAGCTGAGTGAGTACCTGTCACCTTCCCAGGAGGCAGGCACTGAAAGCCATGGGCAGAAAGTGAGAGATGCCAGGTACAGCTGAGGCAAGATGCTGTCAAGTTACACCTATGTACAACTGGTTGTTGCAGCAACTGTGGAACTAAAAAGTTGGACCAGAAGATGTGAGACAGAGCACAAGATGGCACCAATAAAGGGGATAGCCACAAGCAATAACATTGTGTTCTGGACTTTCTTTGTGTATGGGTTTTATGAAGGACAGGGTGATCTGGACTGGGTTTTTTCTTAACAAGTCCGTAGAATTATTGCCAGCCTTCTCTTCTCTGATCATAAGAGGCAGAGAAGCTTTCTGATGAATTGGAAGTAGTGAAGTGGTGTGCTTATACTTATCTTGGCTAGTTAGACTTATCAACAGTAAAACATCGCAAAGAGAAATTGCAGAAACCATTATATGAAGGCCCACATACTCTTCGTGCTTTTCTACTAATAGTGGACATTTATTGCCAAGTATTTCGACAATGGTTTGTCTAAAAGTTCTTTTAACGTCTTTGATTTAGCTGCTCTGTGTCCACTGCATTTTGAATGTCACAGAGACTGATGGTGTTAAGGCCATGTAGTAGTTTTTCGTTAAATCTGGATGAAGAGTAGGGGAATTGGGAGGTAGCTTGGAATCCAAATGAAAGATTGTCTTTCATTGTATGCACTAAGGCACTGTTTTAGCATCATATCCTGTGTAAGTACTACTGTCCCTCATGTGTGAATTAGCCACTAGTGACTCAGCTCTGAAATGGTTAGTCATAGTAGTCTTCGTCATTTCATAGCCATAGTTTTTGCTTGGCAGCTTCCTAATGAGCTCATCTTTTGGGTGTCAAATGGCAGAGCTATGGGTTTTCTTCAAGAGATTTGAGAGATGTAGTCAGACAGCCAATTAGCATTTTTATTTACTTTGGGAGAGCTTTGAGTCCCAAGACCTGCATAAGATTGTCCTGGTAGTACTTGCAGTGTCTAACAAAACATGTCAAAAATTTCATACCTGTCACCCCAGGAATTTGGCAGTAACAAGACTGAGCATACGAGGACTGAGAGGTTGGTGACAAAGGAGGGGGCTGGTGGGAGCTATACATCAACAAGATGAGCAAGATACGGAAGGAGGAAGTCGGTTAAGGCAAAGAGGGACAGACTGGGCTAAGTTCATGAAGTTCATCTCAGAATCAGGAAGCTACTTAGGAGACTGAATGGAAAGGGAGAGATGGGGCCCCAAGCTGGAGAGCCTAGGGAATCAGATGATAGATTGTAGAATAGATGTCTCGTTATAGCAAATATTTATTATGTCACTTATTATACGTCAGGTGCTTTTCTAATTTTATATGTATGAGCAATTTCATTCTCACAGCAAGTCTATGAAGTAGGTGCTGTATTATTATCAAACCTATTTAGCAGATGAGGTAACTGAGGCACAAAGGGGTCAGATAAATTGTCCAATGTCACATAGCTCTTAAGTGTCTGATCCTGGCTTCAAATCCAGGTAGTCTTTCCCCAAAGTTCATGCTCTTCTAAATATTGCTTATTGCTTACATACCTGTTTCTGAGGCAGAAGCTTCTTATATATTATAAATTTCCATGATGAAAGATCAAGATTGGTTCAGAATATGTGTGTGGAGGGCAGTGAGAGGGGTATATCAGACACACATTTTATATGCCTCTTCAGACCCATCTGGGCCAACTGCATCTTGCACTCACCACCCAGTCACCTGCCCTAGGAGAGCTGGGCTCTTGCTGTATCTCTGTGCCCCCTGGCCAGCCAGTCCCTTGCTTGGGGTTTCTGGCTCTTCCTGCCACTTTGGAAATGAGATTCCAAACCATGGGGCATGGGATGAGGCACCATGAGTGTCGGAAGAAGCTGGATGAGACAATCCGGAAATGCAGAAGACTTTACTCCCTGTGGGGTGAAATTGGACCAGAAGAAAGCAGGGGACAGGGACAGGTGGGAAGTGGCCAGATAAATCCTCTCATCTTCCTCTGTCCTATCAACTACTCTGAGATACAGGTTTTCCTTCTAGTACATCCAGAAAAGTCCTTGCATTAAGTGGATTCACCTGCCCAAGGACCTGTTGTGTCCTTCTGTGGCTTAGCTCAAAGTGATGGCAGCATAGTTATACTTCTCTTGGCATTGCTTGACATCTTTCCTAGTTTCACTTTCTTTCTTTCTAAGCCTTGTTGCTCTGGGTGTACCCTTCTCCCTAAAATCATCATAGCCAAGCTAAGAAAGTGGGCCTGGGCTTAAAAGTGGAAACAAATAGAGTAGTGGGCATTGTCTCAGCAACACTTCACTGTTCAGTGACAAGAAAGGACATTGATTCTTTTAAAACACATTTAGAATAAGGTAGAAGTTGATATTATGCCTAATGGGTAACTTTCAGTACTTAATAAGAAGTGAATTTTACCATAATGTGAGCATTTTAAAGGAGGTGGGAATTTTAGGAGTGAAGAGTGTTGCCAGGGCATCCTCTCCCTAATTAGGCTGATGGAGATCACATTTGCTTTCCTGCCTGCTATACCTCTCTCCTCCTCCTCTTCAGACATAGCCACCATTTTCTAAACACTTAAATAGAGGCCTGACACCACACTAAGTGCTTTATGTATATTTTCTCATTTACTCCTTTGAGGTAGAAAACAGATTTCAGAGAAGTGACTGACAAACAGCTAATAAATACTAGAGCCAGAATTCAAACCCAGATCTGTCTAACTCTGAAGCCTATACTCATAACTGATACCTTCTGCTACCTTCTGCAAAGTTCCTTATCAAAGGAAGTTATTTGGAGCAGAGAAAAGCCACATGGAGAAAAAATATGGCATGAGAGCATCTTATTCCCTTTATTCTAATTTGCTCCAAAAGCAACTTCTGGTGGAGCCAGCTGCTGGTGTTTGGAGTATGTTTGTGTCCTAGGAGGAAGTACCTATTCGTGGGTAGCAGACTGTTGATACTTCTTAAGCCAAGAATCCCTCCCGTTGTAAAATAGTAAACGGGCCCTCTGGCTTCTTATCATGCTTTTCTGTATTGGATTGGCATGAATCTGTCCTCTAAGTCAGCCTGGCAGAACCAAACCCTGAACATGGTGACCTTATGGAGGTCACCCAGCCCTCGCCAGCCAGCAGGCTTCTTCCTCAACACCTTCCTTGATGGGTGTCCTTAGGAAAGCCAATTTTTCTTTAAAATTATTCCTTTGAATCTAAAGCTTTTATCTCCCAAGTTTTCCTCCTCGGTACATCCCCAGAGTTTTGTGGATGTGCATAAACAGGACCACATTTGCCATGGAAGGAAGCCATGGTACAGGTGATCAAACCAAAGGAGAATACAAATAGCATTTCATATTTGACTTTGAGATATCTCATACTACTTTTTATCCCCACTAGAAATGTTTTTGTTATTTGTTGTTTAAAATAATGGAGACAAAAGGCCCTTGTTGAGAGTCATAACATCTGGGACCTGATTGCAACTCTGGCTTACCAGCTGGGTGTGACTTTGATCTGCCACATAGTCCTGTTGGGACTCAGTTCTTTCACCTGCAAAATGGAAGAGTTGGGTGAGATTATTTATTCCAAAACCATGCTGATCATCAGAATCACCACTGATGCTTTTTAAAAAGGGCCCCATCTCAGACCTATGGATCACAATTCAGGTAAAGGGAAGAGAAAGGAGAGTGGGGAAGGAGGAGAGGACCAGAATCCATAATTGCAACAAGCTCCCCAGATCATTCTGATGCACGGTTTAGGGACGACTTTATGCAGTAGTGCCAGTAGCACAACTCCAGGGTGCCATTTGTATTGTATGAACTCCACGGGCACTGTTCACGTGGAATAGAATGTGAACAGTGCCTCTTGGAGTTCTACAACACAGCAGCCCTGTATGTGCTGATTTCTACACATGGTCATTTTCAAGCATGGATTTTCTCTGATTTTATGACAGTAGAGTGGCATGAGGTGCTGAGTAGACAGTGGCCTATAAGCATGTGGTTAAGGATGGAGGCATAGTAGCTATGACAATAGCATAGGAAAGTGGAAAGCAGCTTTAGAACAGCTAATAAACATTGCCACACAGAAAGTTGGCTGTCAGATTATCTCCTGCATTACAGCTGGCTCCCATCTGAGATGAAGGATAGGTCTGTGAAGAAAACAGGGCATTTAAGGCAGCTTGGCCAAAAGGTGGGCCTTGGGTCAGGGTTCTCCAGAAAGGGTTGAGTTGAGCAAGGGAAGCAAGACTTTCTCCAAGGTAAGACAAGCTTGTAGTTGCCAATTAATTTTTCTTCTTTGGGGTTCTTTGGCTTTGTTTTCTCTTTATATATTGTAAAGTTCCTTTTGAAAAAATAATCCAGGCTTTTATTAACCAAATCAAAGAAAAAAAGGTTTATTCATACTTAAGCCTGTATCTGCCATATCACTGTAGCTGCCAGAAGCCAGATTATGTTGGTAAAAAACTGGAAAAATAATTGAGACACTAGTGCAGATAAAAGGTTAAAATTCTGGGGGAAGAGACTTGGGATGCGGTTGCTGTTAGATTAAATGTTACAAATGAATTTTTTTCTCAGAAGCTAATGAGATGTGAGCTGGCTTGAGGTATGTCCATTATCTAGGACAGTACTGTGCTTAGTTTTTATGAGAATCAGTTGAGACACTTGTCAAAAATGCATATTCCTGCCAAGGCCCTAGCCAGTTCTGATTCAGTGGGTGTGGAGGGGACACCTGGGCTCTGTGTTTTACATGAGCATCCAGCGACCATACTTTAAGAATACTGTGCTAGACAATGAGAAGAAAGATGGTGACCTCTGTCCCAGAATAGAGCCTTGTATTCTTTGGAAATTATATTAACTCCTCTGATACTTAGTTTCTTTTCTTGTAATAAGGATAGCAATACTTTCCCATGCCAAAATCACAGGTTTCAGAAAAGTATTTCAAAATGAACTGTTTGGAGAAAAGAGATGGTGCTAGTTGTTTAGAAAAGAAATCTACATGAATAAAAGTCTATTTCTTGGGCTTCTGTAAACCCCCAGCATTTAGCACAAGAATATGCATATAGAAGGTACCCTAATCTGCTTGAGTTGCTTAGGAGCCTTTGAGTGATTTCTAGGTTATCAAAATGACAAAACTGCTATTAGTTATGTCTTTATGCCTATTAGAAAATAGGATCTGCCAAAGTAATGTTGAAGAAGAATTGGCCAAGGCAGATTGATAGAGGGAGCTCAGTAGATCAGGAAAGTAAATACTGAACAATGAATTATATTCATAATATATTTTATATTTTTAATATGTTTTGTTCCTATTTGGGGAATGTATTAGTTAAAATCTAGCTGCTGCAACAAAAAAAACCCCAACAGTATACTGGTTCAAATAACAAAGAAGCTTATTTATCGCTCATATAACAGGCCTGGTATGAGTGATCCATGTCTGTTGAGTAGCTCTGCTCCTCACGGTTATTCAGGGAACAGTTTCCTTCTGTCTTTTTCTCTGTTATTACCTAGGGCACTGTTATCATCTGCATTGTAGAAGCTGGCTTGTCACCTAGAAAAGAGAAAGAGAATGTGGAACATCTTAAGGTCCAGATCTGGAAGTAGCAATTATCATTTTCATTCACAAGCCGTTGGCAAGCTTAAAAACACTGCCAATGCCTAAGTGAAAAGGAGACTGGAAAATGTGGCCTATCTGAATAGCAATATACTCTGCTATACCTCTATTTTTAATGCTGTAAATGAAGGAGAGAGCAGAATTGGTGACTAACCAGCAATCTCTGACACAGAAAGGGTATATGAAACTTTGAAAGTGGAGCCAATCACTACTTTTCATGGCTTCACTAATTGGCCAGAGAGGCTGCTATGCTGTGGAGTATCATATTTCCTTTTACGTGCTGTTCTCAGCCTGTCTAAAACCTCATTCCTGGTATCCAGCTAAGCCTGCAAGTTATTCTGGGCAATGTGGATGCTGGCATTTCCTTTTCTCAATTTTAGGGTTCTCCTCCTGTATCCTATGCGGGTCATGAGAAAAGACTTGTTGAATCCCGTCATACAGTTAATAAATGTGCCATTGGTTGGAAAACATTGGCAAAAGTGCCGGTATGAATTGTATTCCATTTGCTTTTCCAACAGTTATGACATAATGAATCTCAAGTATGACTATTGTCACATAGTCGGAGGCTCTGAACATTGAGAACATTTTCTTAAGGATCATCTGAATGGAAAATGAGTTCATAGATTTTCAACATTTTTACCAATGGTTCCCAAGGCTCCACTTGTTCCTGCACTCTCTTTATTCTATACTACCTCCTTATTTAATTTCATCTTCTCTCTCTTAGGGTGGGGAAAAGTTGAGGAGAGAATGTTTCACCACTACAGTGCATTTCAGAATTCTTAGTTTGTTCCTCATTATTTTGTGATGTATAGTGCTATTCATAGCAGGAAGTTCTTATAATTAGCTGCCTTGGGATGTTCTAAAGGTGAAACCACTCTGCTCCCATGCATCTTGCAAGATTAGTGACTTAGACTGAGGGTTGGCAGGTGATAGATACTGTTAAGGAGGATGGAAGCAGATTGAGATGAGTGAGAGCTGCTGCCTGCTTGGGTACGTTGGTTTAGAGAGTGATCTCCCCGCCCTGGGAATTGCATCCCTAGGAGACTGTGGTGTGACTCCGATGAGATGAAATTACTTCAAAGAAGAATCTGAGGGCAGGTTGAGGGCTGAGAAATTGTTCAGGAAGCTCAGATTACTAAAGTCAAAAACATGTGTATAAGGGGAATGGGAGATAGATTACTTTCCTAACAGCTAATTGACATTGTCATTAACATTTGTCTTACCGGAAAAATTATACAGCCATTTCTCTTTCCAGTTTTACACGCACACACACACACACCACATTTACACGTATACTTTTGGGGAGGGGTGTTTGGTTTTAATTTTGTGACACAATTTTGTATATTCTCCAGGAGAGCTAGGCTGCCAGCCACATTCCCAACATATTCTGGAATTCTTCCCTCTATCCTCAGCCTGCCCCATCACCCAGGTGATTTTAGTGATTCTCTAGTGCCTCACCAACTGCATTTTCACAGCTTGGTGAATGTTCCATCTTGGATTTTATGTTTTGCCACTTGCGATGGCAATTTATAATAAAACCAAGATGTGACCTGTTTTGTGTCCAGCAACGAATGTGTCCAGGAGTCTGCCTGTGATGTGCAATGTGCCTTCAATGACGAGACAGCTGTGATGCAAATGGATTTGTGGGGGAAAAGAAGGGCCTTAATTTCTCTTCCTCTTTTCCCATGGATATAAAACTTTGTTATGGTAAGCTAAACCTCTGATATCATATACAACTGCTGGCATTCTAAATTGTTTTAATGGCCACTCCTTATTGCTTAATACTAAGCATTACCATCTGTTTCTTTCTTAATTATAAATGCAGCAGGAATTCACAATTACATCAGTAACGGTGGAAATAAAATGGAGTTAGAGGCCTTGTACTTAACACAAGGCAGCCTTCCCCTAATGCTTTTCTTCTGTTGTAGGCCTTGGTCAGAGAGGAGTATTCCTCAGTGGTTTTCTCTCTCCTCTTCTCAATATAGTTTCCATGAGCGTATCATGCTATAAATTTAGCAATTTTCTTCTTGTGAAAGAGAAAGAGAGCTGTGTTTTTCTGTCTGTGGAGCTGAGGATGTGTGGGCAGATCTTTCTCACAGTACTGGAAGCCAGTGGTGTGATTGTCCTGCTGTTATTGGCCTGCGTTTTTGTGAGAAGAAAAAGATGAGTTGTAATAGCCTAATGACGTGAGTCACGTCCATCCCCCAGAGAAGAGCTGGGAGTGACATCTAAGGAACTTTGATCAGCCCACTAGTAGCCAGTCTGCTGTTCCTGAAAAACAAGGGAACATTTGTGGAGGGAGGTCATGTAGAAACTGAAGAGAGATTTAACTCTGCTTTACTTAGGCTTTTATTTTTCACTAAGTGGAAAAACTTATCAAATTTTAGACTCGCAATATTTTAGAATTAAAAGAAATCCTTAGAAGTCACCTAGCTCAAAGCCATGGTCGCTCTTCATTCTTTGTCTAGTACTTGAGCAGGTTGAGCATGAGCTTTGCAGTTAGCAGAACAGGGTTTGGCTTGTGAGCGCCACTGTGTGCTTTGTCTTCTTTTCAGTGAGTTCTCAGTGCCTCAGTTCTCATCCTCTGTAAGAATGGATATCACAATGCTTCTGATGAAGCCTACTGTTTGGACCAAATGGGAGAGAATGTGTAAATCCTAGCCCATTGTGTGGCCCATGGTTTTCTCCCCTTCTTTCCATTCACATTCATGACACCTGAAGAAATATTAGTCCAAAGAGGTTGAATTCTTTGCTCAGTGTTGTCCATCTAGTTAATGGTAGACCTGGAACTGTGAGTAATGTTTTCTAAGACCAATGTATTCCAAGACTTTTTCTCACTAGGTCATATCTAGACCTGTTGCTACCTTTCTCTATCCTTGTCATCCATTGTATGTTTGTACAATAATAACCTTAATAATTAACATCTGTATAATATTTTTTAATCTGTAAAGTACTTTTAAAATGTATATTCCCCTTTAATATGCAGTTGGTGAAATCGTTAAAACAGTTTCATTACTCTTATTTTACAGTTGGGGAAATGGAAACTCTGAAGGGCCGTGTATCTTGTTGAGCTCACACTGAAGACTGAGTGAGGACTTGAACCCAGGCCTGTGAGACTCCAGTGTGTGGGCTTCACTCTGTTCTAAGCGGACCCTCACTGTTACGCCAGCACACGTAGGAGAGGGCTGAGAGAGAAAACAAACAGGAATAATATTATTATCTGTACTTCGTAGTTAGGTTTTTTTTAGGATGAGGATGCTACAAGAAGACCAAAACAGTTTCCTTGAGTTGTATTAATATTTTGTGGCCCAAGTGCTTTCTAGCCACCAGAAGGATCCCAAGGGTAACTAGAGGTAGAGCAAGAGACAGCAGGTTTCCAATAGGAGTAGTTACCAAACAAAACCAAACTTACAAGACAACAACCAGAAAAGGCCCTTGCTCCATCATGTGAGTGAGTAGTTTGCTACTTCAAAAATGCAGCTTATAAATGAGACCATCCGAGTCATTTGTTACTGGCCAAGTTCAGGTCTGAGCCCATAAGGGTCAGGCTGATGCATTTACTCAAATGGGCATCTGAGAGCTCAGCAAGAGGAGTCTGTGAGCCTGTGCTTGCCTTTGTGTTCCAGTGCCCTGTCCAAAGGTGGAGTCCCCTTTGCACTTTCTCAGCTTCTAGGCCATGTGTTTTGTCTTTCCCGCACACTGTGGTTAATGATTCTTGGTCATGGCGACATCACAATGAGTTTCACTTACATTCAGATTCTCCCATGCTCCTCCTGTCATGCTGTCACTGAGCCATCCAGGCCTGCTATATAATAAGCAGGCTTCCTGAAAAACAGTCCTTTCTGGCAGTAAAACTAAATCTTTTAATCTTGGAAACTCTCCTATGGACCAGGTGCAGAAAAGCATGCAAATTTTAAAAATGTAAATATTGACATTCTGAGGTTTTCTTATATAACCTGATTTAGTCTGATTTTCCCATTATTTCTGCTATTTCTGTGGGCATTTTACTGAATCCAGGTTTATAAAGCAGCAGAGGGGCAGCATTATTCAGAAGGTAATAGCAAGGGCTGTAGAGTTAACCAGATCTGGGATCAAGTCCTGGCACTGTGGCCTTACTGCGTCACCTCATATGAGTTCTCTGAACCTCACTTTCCGCTTCTGTAAAGTGACGATAATGGTACCCACCCACCCACTGGTGCCGTGAGAATCAGATGAGCTGCCACATTCAAAGAGCTATAATTCAAGACAGGCATTTTGCCTGATCTCGCTCCCTAGAACCAGAAGAGTGATTCATTTGTGATGTTTTTTCCTCATTAGGAAGCTCTAGCTGGACAAAGGTCATTCAGGATACTTATGACATATGAAATGCATGCATTTTGTTGAAAGAGATAAAAAATATTATTTTAAAAGTTTTTTACCTTACTTTAGAAGTCAAGTCTTATAACATGAGTAAATTTTCACTGCAGGTTACTTTCATTTTTTATCCCTTCACTGTGAGCAAGGCAGCAAGAAAGGCATGCTCTCTGTTGTCTTGCGTATGAATATGAAAATATCCTCTATGTGCCAAGTACATCTCTGTGAGTATATTGTTTGTTTTAATCTAGCCTTTTAATGTCAGAAAAATTTAAAAGCTCCAGTATAATAATAATGACTAAAAATGCTTATTAAAAAGTACATTAAAAGATAAGGGGATTTTTGAGGACTTGGGGGCATATAAACAGGTTATTATTTTTTTGTAATTATATTAAATCAGGCATGCACCAACCAAATTCATGACTTTATATAGGGTTGTGGTTTTTTTTAGAGTTTTATAGAAATAATGCTAAAATAAAGGAATGTGAATTCCTTTGCCAGTTCTTTGAAGGGAATGGTAGAATCTGACCTACCTCGAAGGAGTATTAAGAGAAACAACCCAGTTATATTGCTCCAGGCTTAGAATCTTTAAATAGTCTCACAGATCAAATCTGCCTTAGCTACACAGAATGATTCCATATGCTCTCCTCTGAAACCTCCTCTTTTTATCTGTAAATGGGGCTGTTTTGAGCCCAGTGTTAGGGGAAACAGTGGGACAGTAGCACTCTGATTAAGAGAATGTGCAAAACATGTCACACACAGACATCTCATCTGCTGATGACATCCCGGATTCTGGTGAGGCCAGGACCAACAGTTTTCTCCTCTGCTTTCTCCTTGCTTCTCTCCTTCTATCGCACATGCGCACGAGCTCGTGTGCACAAATGTGTGTACACCCTTCTTCTCTTAGAAATGAGAAGCTTACGAAATGCTATTCATGGGGAAATGGTAATATTACTCTCTGATATGTAGAGGACTCTATTAAATCCTTTGATTCTACTGAATATGCAGAAGCATTGAGCAAGGCAATCAGGCAACCATGTGTAGCTCCAGATATACCTTACACGTGGGCCATTGTCCACACTGCTGGTGGGGCTGGTAGCATTTAAAAAGGTGGTCATAGCACACATGCCCCCTTGCTTTTTGCTCAGTCTTCCCAAGTCTTACTGATCCAACCACATCATCCTTATGATGTTTCCAGGAGAACAAATATCTATCTGCTCTCCAGTTGTGAACTCCATGTGTTTCCCCAACGCAAGGTGGTGAATAAGTTAATTCCAAACGAAAGTGAGAGGCTTTGCCATAACCCTATTCTTTCAAGGAGAAGGTGGGATGTGCGAGGTGTTGGAAAAGCAAATTAAATGGATTAGTCTCCTCTCTCAATTCAGTGTTTGGGACCCCCACCCGTTATAAGCTTTCAAGCTTTATGGGATGATACTTTCCAATTCCCTTTCTAGCCAAGACTCCAAGTTGTAATCTCAGGATGGAGAGTAAATTGTTTGTATTTTGTAAATGTCCTATTTTCCATCTTTCAGAAGAATTCTTCATCAGCTAAAATTTCAAAGAGGCGATTGAAGGGAATTTTTGTGGTTGTCTAGTTATTTATAAATTATTATTATTCAGTCTAAAGTCTTGCTGATTGCTGAAAACTTTACCAAAAAACGATATTATGGTCATTTACTTCTTAACCATTACTTTACTGTTTACATACCCACATGATCACCTTGAACACCACTGAAAAGAAATTGCAAAATAATGCTTACTAAACACATGTTAGATTTACAAAGTGATTATAAATGGCTTTTAAAGAAAATAATTCCTATTCTTTTCATTGTGTTCAAGCTTCTCTACATAATTGTGCCATGTGTGTGTTGGGGGACTGTGGTGGTAAGTTTGGGTACATAGCCAAAACAAATTTACTTGCTTTTCAATAGACAAGTTATATAAGTGCTGCTTATAGTTTCGTTCTTAAATTAATTTCACAAACATTTATTGAGTACCTGCAATGTTTTGTAAAGAAACTTCACCTCTCTTTGGGTTTGAGGTTTCTGTTTGTTTTCTGTTTTGATTAGTTTTGTGAAAGGAGACAGTATATTCCAAGGATTTTATAGCTATAAAAAGGCAGCGGTAGTTTCTACAAACTAGATATGAGAAAAAAAAGTTTTGATTTGTTCCTTGAATGCCTCCATCACAGAGCCATTTATAGCTATGGTAGTAAGATTGTGGAAGGACAAGAACAGGGTCTTATACAGAGTTCTAGGAAGCCCCCTGTGGTACTTTCAGCAAATATTGGCAGTAGGAAATTAATAGACATAAACACTGTGAGGTTGGCTGGCATTTTATCTATCCTTTGAACAGGTTTAGGAAATGTAATTGACTTGTGTTCAGGAATCTGAAATACAGCTTTTGTAATAGTAATTTTCCCTGCAGCTTTGGCATTTCCTTCCCGTTAAACTTCTTAGTTTTCAGTGAGAGAAATATAGCCCTGAACTTGCTTTATCATTTTGGGATGATTTACTTTAAAATTATAGTAAGGGGTTTTTGGTCAGTATTCCACCAGGCTAGTTTCAAACTGAGTTTGCTGACTCCAACTAGCCATAAATGGCTCCCACCTCCAGTGTCTAGAACAGGAAGTGGCATGCTAGGATGCCAGGAATAAGGCGATTGCTCAGATGGAATAACACTTGGCAGTTTGGAGGAATTTGTTGATGTAAGCCTAAATCGTAGGCTACAGACTGACTTGTGGGATGTATTTCTGCCAATTATGGTCCATCCTGCAGTCAAAAATGGGAAAAATTACTTACTGCAGCTGGCATTCTGGTATTGAAATCACTGATGGAATAATCAGAGGGAAATCTAAGTTATCAGAAGAGATGGATTGTGACACAAGACGCTGGATTCCTGGGTTATCTGCTTTGCCTGCCTCACATGACATGAAAGGGGGGAGTAACTAAAGAGCCAGAGAACTGTTGAGTGTTCCTGAGTGCTGACTTGCCCAATGAGGACTGATGCTTGCAGATGCCCTTTCCATCCTGCCACTGCAGGGGCCTATGTTTTTAAGAGTTAGGGCCTTAAGAGGGATCTTTTTCAGTATCTTTCCTGTGTCCAAGGCTCTTTGCATATAGGAGAGGGGGATACAAGCTCCCTGAAGTGTCTGTAACTTGCTGCTCTAGGAGTGTGCACGTTGTGTACCCAGAGGTCTGCAGCTGAAATGATGAACACCAAAATAACCATGGTTGATCATTGGAAGCATGCCTATGACTGAACAAACTTCTTCTTTTTCATTCATGAATTTGTGCATATTCTAAAAAAAAAAAATCACTCTAAAAATAAGATTTGCAAAAGAGGAAATAAAACACACCACCCACCCATGTAGACCAAATGGGCTGCTCTCTTCATTGGTGAATTGTAAGTCATTTGAGTTCCTCCATGCTTATTTCTCATTGAATGTTCCTTCCCCGAGGAGCTCACAGTTGTTTGACTCTGTGTCCTCTATCAGCATGCTCCCCATACTGAGGACGGATCTTGAAGATTCCTCTCTTGAGGGCTCCACTTCTCTGCTTTGTAACATGCCACCACTATCCTCTGTTTCAGGATGTCTGGGTCCAAATATCCTGCTCACCTCAGCCTTCCCTTTGGACTGTAAGTTCCTTGAAGCAACAACTGCAGTGGACAGCTGATGTCTTGGCCTACTGAGTGTCTACTTCCTCTTCTTCTGGAAATAGCACCTTAGTTACTCGAGAGAACTTTCTCTCCCACTTTGCATTCAGGCTAAGTAGCATCCCAATTAAGATATTCCACTCTATTCTACCTGGAGGAGGTCACAGGGTTCAAATCAGGCTACCCAGACTCTCTCTCTCTGTTCTGAGAATTTTAGTTTTGAGCAGTCTCTCTAGAATGGAAACGGAAACCCTTGATTCCTCTCAAGGGAGTTTTCTGAAGAGAAGGCAGGAAATCCCGCTGCCTGCCTTCAAGCTGCCTGCTTCCCGTCCTTTATGAAGCCTGGTTGGGTAGCTCTACCTTAGATTCTGTGAGCTGCCCTGTATTTTTCCAATAAATCTCTTTCTTTTGTCCCAGTTGGCCAAAATTTGTTGTTGTTTCCTGACGAAATGTCCTGATATAGGCTCCATCTTCTAGCGCCCATTTATATGTCATGATGGCTTGCAGCATGTTGAAAGCATAGTGAAGGTTGTTGCCTACAGTTCAGAAAGTTCTAGAATTCAAAGGGATATCACGGATGTGAATTAAACCAAATTATATTCTTCCTTATACCACTTCATTTCTCCCAAGAGTTGTAGAAATTTGTGAATTTAAAATGGAGAGTTAGGGGCCAACGCCACAGCCGAGTGGTTAAGTTTGCGCACTCCACTTCAGCGGCCCAGGGTTTTGCCGGGGTTCGGATCCTGGGTGTGGATATGGCACCGCTCATCAGGCCACGGTGAGGCGGCGTCCCATGTGCCACAACTAGAAGGGCCCACAACTAAAATATACAACTATGTACTGGGGGGATTTGGGGAGAAAAAAATAGGGGAAGAAAAAAAGATTAGCAACAGTTGTTAGCTCAGGTGCCAATCTTAAAACAAACAAACAAACAAAAAATAAATAAAAAATAAAATAAAATAAAATGGAGAGTTAGAGCAGAAACTATGGAAATTTATGACGATAATCTCTTTTTAGGTAAATTTTTTATTTCACAACAGCTTTAAATTTACAGAACTATTGTGAGAATAGTACAAAGTTCCCATACAGCCTACACTCAGTTTTCCCTACTATTAACATCTTACATAAGTATGGTACATTTGTCACAACTGATGAACCAATATTGATGTTGACCCAGAATTTATTCACATTTTTTCAGTTTTTCCCTAATAGCCTTTTCCTGTTCCAGGATCTTATCCTGGAGTCCACAACTTCATTTAGAAATCTCATCTCTTAGACTCCTCTTGGTGTGATGGCTTCTCAGACTTTCTTTGTTTTTGATGGCCTTTACAGTTTTGAGGAGCGCAGATCAGATATTTTATAGACTGTCCCTCAATTGGAATTTGTATTATATTTTTCTAATGATTAGACTAAGGGGATGTGCTTTTGGGAGGAAGACTACAGAGGTAAAGTGCCATTCTCATCACATCATATCAAGGGTACATACTAACAACATGATATCACTGTTATGTTGACTTTGAAAACCTGACTGACGTAATGCTTGCCAGTTTTCTCCGTTTTAAAGTTAGTTTTTCCTCCCTTTATATACTGTATTCTTTGGAAGGAAGTCGCTTAGTATGGCCTACACTTAAGGAGTTGGAGAGTTATGCTCCACCTCCTTAAGGGTGGAGTATCTATATAAATTATTTGTAGTTCTTCTGCACAGCAGATTTGACTGTTTTTCATTATCTATCTATCTACTTATTCAGTCATTTACTTATATTAGTATGGATGCATGGATATATATTCTACACTTTGGGTTATAATCTAATACTGCTTTATTTATTTTGTTGCTTAAATTGTTCTGATTTTGGCCATTGGAAGCTCTTTCAGTTGGCTCCTGTGTCCCTTTGTCTCTTGTTTCATACTCCTATTATTGGTGGGGGTTTTTTCTAGCACTTCCTTGCTTTCTGGCAGTACAAGATGCTCTGGGCTTATCTTGCATATTTCCTTCCACAGTTCTAGGATCAGCCATTTCTCCAAGGAGCCCTAGTTCTTTTTATTGGCAAATGGCATTACAAATCAAGATCTGGCACTAGGTATGCTTGCTACTACTGGGGTATCATTGCTTCTAGGTCCTCTCAGCTGACAGAGCAAGGAAATATATGTTTGTATCCAACCTATTTATATACACGTATCTATAAGTATTTCTATATGTAACCATCTGTATCTATAGTAAGCTAAACACAAATTCATGCTTATGTCTCCAACTCTAATCCTTCACCACATTCTAGCTTTGTCCTCTTGCTTTTCTGTAACCTGCTACCCTAACAATGAGAAATCTGGCTCCCACCACCCGTCACTCATTTGCTTTTTGTTCAGTTCCAGTATACATGTATTGTTTCAGCATTGTTAACTTATACCCCTGTGGGAAACAATTTTATCAACTAGAGCACAGTGCTTAGAGTGCAATTCATTTTACCTTTAGCCTTATGGATTCCACTCATTTCCAAAGTTACTTAGATGAGTACCCTATTCCCCCACCTTCTGCGGTGGAGTTGTTTCACACCGTTATCTGTTAAAAGTTATGTTTTAGGGGGCTGGCCCACCATGGCATAGTGGTTAAGTTCAGTCTGCTCTGCTTTGGCAGTCTGGGTTCTGATCCCAGGCGTGGACATAAACCACTCAGCAGCCATGCTGTGGCAGCAACCCACATATAAAGTGGAGGAAGACTAGCACAGATGTTAGCTCAGGGATAATCTTCCTCAAGAAAAAAAAGAGAGAGAAAGATTGGCAAAAGATGTTATGTTAGTTCAGGGCTAATCTTCCTTAGCAAAAAAAAAAAAAAAAAAAAAAAAGTAGTTTTAGATTTATCCAAAGGTTAGGTACATAGCTAAAGATGTCAAATAGTGCTGAAAGGCTTATAATAAAAACTGGCAGTCCCTTCTCTTACGCTCACTCCATCCTGACCTAAGAGCAACGCTTAAGAACTCTTAGCTGTTTATATCCATACATCTAAATAATATGCTTCATAGCTATCTCTTGAGACACCAAGTTTAAACATTATCCATTGATTTCCTATTATTGTAGATGAAAATTTAGCTTTATTTCACCTCCTTCTCTGGGCTCATTTATTTGCAACATAGTTATTTCACAATTTTTCAAAATGAAATCGTTGAGGATATTAGGCTAAGCAAAATAAGCCAGCCAGAGAAAGATAAACACCATATGAGTTCATTTTTATGTGGAAGATAAACAAACATGTGGATAAGGAGAACAGATTGGTGGTTACCAGAGGGGAAGAGAGTGGAGGGAGAATGAAAGGGGTAAAGGGGTACATGTGTATGGTGATGGATAAAAACTAGACTATTGGTGGTGAACATGAAATAGTCTAGACAGAAACTGATGTATAATAACGTACACCTCAAATTTACACAATGTTATAAGCCAATGTGACCTTGATAAAATAATTTTAAGATTTAAATCAATTTTCAATGTTTACATTATTTATTTTCTTATTTTAAAAAATCCTGAAATTAATAATTACTTCATTCTTTGTACCTCTCTCTGTCTCCCATCCTACAACATTTTTTCCCACAACTTATCATACTTATTAGATAATTTTCAGTTCTTCTCACTCCCATCCTCATCTCCCAGGAGCTTCTGTTTTCTGGGCTACTTCATTGAGAATAACTATGCAGAGCCGGGAGTAAGGCTGCTGATATCTGGGAACTGGATGGAAAAGGAGACTGGGGGTCTCATTGTTTTACATACAGTCTTTCACTTAATCTCCCTGTTCTCGGGTTGGTGCCTTACCCCACCTTCCACTATGCCCAGGTCACTGAGTAAATAAATAAAAAATTTTAAAAAAAAATTAAAAAGTGACTAAATAAAAAAGTCTTTCTGACTTACCTTCTATGAGACTTACACTCCTGTTTGCTGGCATTGAGAGAATGTGGGTTGCAGTTGCTTGAGTGGGCATGAAGGGAGTAGGGACCTGGAGGTGTTCATGCTTTTCATAAATACTTTCAAGCAAACTTCCTTCTTTCAATTCTGTGTCTCACCCCTGCTTCGGAGGTAGCTGGTACCTCTAATTCCTGTACCTCCCTTAGGTTCTCTGCAGTAAGGCAGCTTGTTTCTCTTGGGCCTAACGTCTGCAGGCACACAGGTTCCTCTTGCTTTACTCTGCCAAGTCAGTAAGAAAGTGCTTTGCACCTTCACTTAGTGTGGTTCAGTGTTACAGATGTCTTTAAATTTCATCAAAGATGGAGTTTTTGTGTTTCTTGGGCTGTAGATTGTTTTCAGGGAGGTGATTTTGAAAAGAAAAGGGAGCCCCAACTTAAACAAGAGATCTCATGTCTGGTCTCCATATTCTGTGACTCACACTAGACCCAGCTCATGTTACTTCTTTGGAGAAGATACTCCTGTATCCTTCAAGAAAAGTAAGTTACTTTGCTCTTGGCTTCCATAGCATGCCAACTGTACCTGTTCAGGGCACATGCCGTACCCTGTTGTAATCCATCTGTTCATTTTCCCCACTGGGCTGTGAGCCCACCTAGGCAGGGACCACATCTAACTAACGTGTGTGCACCATGAGCCTCGCATAGGCCTGACTCTGCTGGGGGTTCTCAGTACATGCTTGTTGAATCTAAGAATAAGTGAACAGCATTGTGTTTGCCACATTAACTCTGAACATGCACTAAAACCTCTGAAATATATTATATTTGCTCAGGCACCATTTGAGAAGTTAAATGATAATGTTGGGCTGAACTAGAATCTCACATTCCCAAGTTTTGACCCAGTTTTATGCTCCAGAACTATGCTACCTCTAGGAGGTATTCTTGGGTGACCTGGAAACGAATTCTGGGAAATTGAGGATGCTATAATTTGGGAGAGTCCCAAAAGAACTGGATTTTTCTAGTTAGATAGAGGCATCTTTCATACTTTAATATTATTTCTGTGCAAATTTGCTGTGATTTTGGTGTGGCCTAATCTTTAGAAATAATCATTTTAGTGATGGAATAAACTTAGAAGTCCAGTTAGGGTTAAGATTAGAAAACTGCATGAGGTAACAATTAGGAATATGGGCTCTGGAATTAGACAGAGCTGAGTTTGAATCTTAGCTCCTTCACTGACCAAATGGGTAAATCGTTAACTTCTCTGAGCCTGACTTTCTTTATATTAAAATTGAGATAAGAACAATACATACGTTATTGGGTTGTATGAAGATAAAACAAGATAATGTATGTAAAACACTTATCATAATGCCTGGCATGTGGTAAGCTTTCAATAAATATTAGCTGTATTTATTATCATCTTTCATGACAGTTAACATAATGCCAAGCAAGTATTTGATAGTTGTCTAAAATAACTTGAACAGGTTTAGTGAAAACAATTTGGGGGTTGGGGTTGGGAATTGGGCATAGAAAGTTTAGCAATGTGGGGAAGCAGTGTACTTTCTTCACCGAGCACTATTAAATTGAAAGATTGCATTCTGGCAGCCAAGGAAAAGAGCAGCTAAACGAATCATTTCTTATGATCTGAAGTCTGTTAGCTACTCCATTTAGCTGTTAATGTTGTGAGGCCATCGGTGTAAATAAATGTGTTATTTGGTAATGGACTTGTTTTCTTAACAATTATAATATATTGTTTTCTCTAAATGCTATAATTTAACCCTGGCATTCTGCTAATTAGTCAGCAGATCAGCCTTCAGCATTGTTTCAATTCCTATCCCCTCACCACATTT